GATTTTTGGTTGTCACGCCTGGCGGGGGGGGGGGGGGCCGGTACCATCTTACAGTGGGTAGAGAGAGCCCAGGGATGCTGTTAAACACCCCACAACATACAAAACGATCCTGCACAACAAAGAATGATCTGGTCCCAGGTATCAAGAGTGTCAACCGAAACTTTAGTTGAGAAACTAAAGAAGAATGACTTGGCAGCCCAGAAAAGGCTGGGCCCAGGGCACAGGGCAGCAAGCATCCAACCCAACTCATACCACAGAACTCCAAAAAAGTTCAGGAACTGGAGACACCGAGCACCTCTAAAGGCTAGGGGAAGGGTGCTAATAAAAAGAAGAGTAATTCGATCCCAAGATTCTCCTCTCCCAGCTCACTCAGCTAGTCAACTGGCCTTTTGGCACCCCTCCTGAGGAAAAACTGTTTACTTTCTAGTAACCAGAAAGGTTTGGGAACACTAGGTACAGCTGAGAGCAGGGGATAAAGAATTAAACAAAAAATGGGAGGGGAGCTTAAAGTATACATGCTAAATGTTCATGTCCTATAACTTACCAGCCACTCAGCTTCCAGAACACGTGTTATGAAGCTTACAGTCACTGGCAAGAGAAAATTGACTAATCCAAAAGAAAAGATTCTGATATTGACATTTAAAATCCTCCCCTCATCGCCAGTAGCCAGGCCTGTAAGCCATGATCTACAGTAAAGCCCACCAGGTAACAAGCCCCATTCATGAACACAGAGCTTCCAATTAGCTTTTTAAGGCCTCACGCAGATAGGATTGGGCAGCTATTTGAGGAAAGGCCTCTACAATCAAAGATACAGAACAAAACAAACAGAAGAGAGGACCTCTAAGGAAGAAAACAATGCAAAGAGAAGAAAAAATTTTAAATTTATGAATAACAGTGTCAAAGAAATAAGAAGAAATGTTGCACCCATGAAACAAGATGCCATTAAAAAATGAATAATCTACTGTACAACACCAAAAAGCTCTTGGATATTAACAGTGATGGCAGAAGTAAAGAATTCAAAAGGGTGGAAAGATTAGTTGAAGAAAGTAGAAAGAAGACCAAAAGAGACATGGAAAATACAAAAGTTATGAAAATTAAAGGATCAACACTAGGAAGCTTAACATGCCACCATAGAGACCCCAGAGAAAGAAAAGAGAAAAAAATAAAGAAGAATTTTTTCAAAGAAATAATGTGAGAACACTTCCCAGCTCTAAAGGACATGAATTTTCAGACTGTACGGGTCCACCAAATATCCAGCAGAGTAGATGAAAATGGACCCATAGCAAGGCAAATCACTGTACAATTTCAAGATACTAGAGACAAATAAAGGATCCAAAAAAAACCCCACCCAAAATAAAAAACAAAAAAAGACCCCAGCAATCAGAATGGATCAAGACTTCTAAGCTTCAACGTGAAATCTAGAAGTCAATGGAGCTATGTCTTCAAAGCTCTGAGGGTAATGCCCAACCCTATCAAGAGTAGAATAAAGTCATTCGCAGTCATGCAAGGTCTAAACATGTTGCCCCCAACACTGTCAGGAAACTACTGGAAAATGTTTCACCAAAATAAAGGAATAAGATAAGCAGTAAGATGTGAAATCCAGGAACTCTTATTTGATAAATGTATAAGAAAGAAAACATATCATAATCTATCGTATGATTCAGCTTGCTCATTGAAATGTAAACATTAACTTTTGATTTAAATTTTTCCTGAAGACAGAGAAAGGATGGCGGAGGGGAAACGTGAGTGAGAAAAGGATACTTTATGTATATGTGTGTTTCTGGGGGAGAGGGGATCAGAGGTAATAAAGACCTAAATTCATCTTCCATAAGAAAGTCAATAACTGTTATCTGAAACAGAAAAATTAAGAACAGCAATATGAGCATGTCAGGAAAAAACATGGAGAGAAATACTACAACTGCTAAAAACCTGAAGGTAGCTGCCTCTGGGGAAGGGGAATAAAGGAGAATTTGGAAATTTCATCAACAATTATGTGATATTACATGTTTGTTTAAGCCATTAATATGTATTACTTTCATAAGAATAAAATACCATTAAACAAAAATATCACTTAACATAGATGAAAGATATGAACAGTTTTGAGAGTACAGTAAAACAATAAGTTGCCAAACAGTATGAACAGTACTGTTTTATGTCTAAAAAATGTCTACAACACACAAGGATTCATACATTTAACATGTAAATTCACAGAGAAAGGTCTGAAATGACACTCATCAAACTCTGGATGGAGAATGGGATTAGGGGTGGGGGAGGGATGGTGGGGCTGGGATGGTGGTAATGTGGGACCTTTCACTTTTTTTAATATGTACTTCTGAATTGTTTGATTTTTTTTTACAACAAAGATATTTGTAAAGAATTTTTCATAACACAGGTAAATGTTCATAATACATTGTCATAGGAAAAGCAGGTATAAAGGTATATAATTGATATGATCCTCCCCCATTGTGTTTTTTAAAATGCAGCTTCCAAGCTTTAAAAAAATCAAAAGAACCCTTTTATCTCAAACAAAATATTACCGAATTCCCAATTTAAGTAGATAGAAATGAACCTGCTCTGAATAAAGCAGAAGCATCCATGCCCTGGTGGGTCAGCCGTTTAGCTCCCTCAGTCCTTCCCATGTCCCAAAGAACCTCAGGCAGGGCTCCAGGCAGAACAATTTGAAAACTACTACTATCACAGAAATGAAGAAAAGAAAAACTCAGAACATGACTTTCTCAGGGATTACAATGATTTTTTCTTTTGCTTCTTTTTTTTTTTTTTGCGGTACGCGGGTCTCTCACTGCTGTGGCCTCTCCCGTTGCGGAGCACAGGCTCCGGACGCGCAGGCCCAGTGGCCATCGCTCACGGGCCCAGCCACTCCGCAGCACATGGGATCCTCCCGGACCGGGGCACGAACCCGCATCCCCTTCATCGGCAGGCGGACTCTCAACCACTGCGCCACCAGGGAAGCCCCATAATCAATTTTTATAAATGTTCCATGCCACAGCCCTGGCTTCTGCTCTTTCTGCAGGACTTTTCCAGTTCTTTTTGGGTTCCTTCATTGTCTACACCTTCTTGACTGCTCAATAACCATCTCCTTTACGTTGCAGAAATTCCTCAAATTTTCTAGCTCATGGTGGCTCCTTCTGCCATTACGTGGACATTTTTCTCCTTAATTTTATAGTTCTCTTATCATTTCAGTGGAATTTTTTGAGAGATGAAAGGTAAAATTATGGGCTCAAAGTGTAGCACAATATATGAGAACTCAGTTTCTAGTATCAGAAAGATCAATGTTTGAATTCCAGTTCTACCATTTCTGTGCTGTAGGACCTTGAATATGTTACTTAAGTTTTCAGGACCTCTGTTTCCTTATATAAAATAATAATTAGGGTACTGACTACCTAAGCTTATTACGAGAGGTAAATGAGAAAATACAGTTAAAGCACTGAATACCTTATTTGAAAAGCACTAGTACTCAATGAACATTAGCTATTGTTGTTAAAATGGTAACTGTGGTGTGGATTTTTTTATTACTTAATGTCAAACAAAAAAAAAGCAATATTTTCCACCAGAGCCTAATCACGTAGATAGTAAACTTTGTGAATGTCTTCGACAATCCCAGTTTATTAAGACTGTTACCTAATCACAACACTATAGCCTAACTTCATTAATTAAATGTGATTACCTGACTTATTCCAGTACTTTAAAAAAGTAATCAAGTACATACCCAAAAGAATCAAAAGGATTGAACACAAAGTTCAATCTGTACACCAAAGTTCAAAGCAGCATTATTCACAATAGCCTAAAGGTGGAAGCAACCCAAGCGTCCATCGACCGATAAGTGAAATGTAGTATGTTACGTATATATAATGAAATATTATTCAGCCTTAAAAAAAGAAGGAAATTCTGACACATGCTACAACATGGATGAACCACAAAGGCATTATGCTAAGTGAAGTACACCAAACACAAAAGGACAAATATTGTATGATTCTACTTAAATGAGGTGCCTAGAGTAATCAAATTCATAGAGACAGAAAGAATTAGTGGTTGCCAGGTGATGATGGGAGGAGGAGGGAAATGAGTTGTTGTTTAAAGGGTTACTTAATGGCCACAGAGTTTCAGTTGGGAAAGATGAAAAAATGGAGATGGATGTTGCTGACAGTTGCACAACAATGTGAATGTGTTTACCAATGAAATATATACTTAAAGACGGTTAAAACAGTAAATGTTACATTATGTACATTTTGCCACAATTTAAAAAGCAACCAAGTGCCTTAGTGGTGGTGATTCTATATTTAATTCTATGTAGTACTATTTACAATCCGAGTAAAACATTTTGAAAATACGTCTTAAGCCTAGGCTAGATAACGTCATTCGGCTTGTTCAGAGGGCAAATATTACCCTCTGCTCCCTCAGACTCAAGTTCACTGCTAAGTCTTTAAGAGGTGGGGATGGGGGTCCTCACACTTCTACCCACAATTATTTTTACTTTCTTAAAAGTCAATACAGAAATGTAGTAGGAGCATAATTTTACTTGAGTATATCTACCCTAATAAAGAAATCTTTATATGGCAAGCTCTTTACATAGAAGCATTTTATTTACAACAGCAAAAACTAAAAACCCCTAAATTCACAACAGCGAGGAAATAGCTAAATAAGCTACATAGCAAATTGAATATTATGCAGCCAACAAAAATGACTGTGAATGAAATGGCAAAATGCTTTTGTAATAGGTGATTCTAACTATGTAAATAATACATTCTCAAAAGACTACAATCAGACATCAATATGTTAATAGGTGATTACCTTTGAGAAGTATGAATAATGATCTTTCCTTGTCTTTATACTTTCTATATTTTTAAAATATTCTCTATTTGGTTTTACTTTCATAATGCATTATTTTTATAATGGGAAAATATATCCTTTTATTTTCTTTCAAAATTAGTAAAAAAACAAAGAGGAATAAAAATTTAATCCGCCCCTGCCCAAGTACTCACATTCTCCGGGATGCTGGGAAGTTCTCTGGTGTCAGGCACAGTAAAATAAGAATGCTGGAAAAGAAAAACAAAAGCTATTTATTTCTGCAAAAGCATGCAACAAGCACATTATTCAGAAATCAGGTAAATGATCTGAAGATAATTCCTCACTCAGATGAAGAAACAGGGTTTCACTCATAGAGAACAGTCTATGGAATATTTCCTTAGGATAATGTTGGATTAAAGCCAGATGCATTAAATCATTCGTTTGGTAGATGGAGTTCTTTTCTATGAAAGAGGAACTTCTTTGAGATACAAAAGAACAGCTCAAGGAAGTTAAAGGCCAAATTCTTTTACGATGTTTGCAGGTTTCTGAACACACGAAAGCTACAGACTTCATAATTTATTGTTCAGTGAGGCAAGTGGACACTAGGGACCAAATATCACTAGGTTCACTCAGGAATGGTCTTTACCAACCAAACCTGCCATTTCATTTCAGCACCTGAGATTATATCCATCTACAAGCTGCGGGCCAAATCTGCCCCGAAGGCCCAAGGGATGTTAAGGACAGCTCCAGCGGAAGGACTGCTGCCCTGAGACACTGCACATGGCTAAGAGTGGAGAAAGTCTCTCCACTATGCATGCTCTGCAAATAAGCCTCCTGACTTCCAGTGCAAATTCCAGTGAAGGGAGCTGGAGACTCAGTGGAGTCGAAAACCTGACCTGTTCAGAGAACTTTCAAGGAGGCATCTCCATGTTTGTAACAAGCATGTGTCTCTGAGTTAAATGAAAACAGGCTGAACTGATGACACCTCCTCCGTGCTACTAAAGACTCAGAGAACAATGGCAAGCAGGAATGGAAAGAGCCTGGTGCTGCCGAATTAAAGAAGGGATTGTGCAAAGGCCAGGAAGGGTCACATACAGAGAAAGTCAGCTTAGCCATGGCCAAAGTTCAAACCTAGACCCCCAAGTGACATTTCAGGAAGTTCTCCCCACTCCCCATTCTTGGATAATTGCAAAATAAGTAGGTCTCTGGAAAAATGAGTTGTACAGGCTTCCTGAAATGAAAGGCCTGGAGGACAACTGCAATAACGAAAATAGCAACAATAACAGTATAAGCTATTTGTCTAATATTCAGCAGGTATTTATGAACACCTGCTGCATGGAAGGCTTTATATCAGGTACTTTATAAATAGTATCTCTAATTTCCACAGCAAAATTTAAGATAGATATTATGTCCATATTACAAATGGGTAAATTAAGGCTTAGAGAGGTAAAGTGACTTAAGGTCATACAGCTAGTAGGTGACAGAACTAGGACTGAAACCAGGTCTGCATAACTAGAGCTATGCTCTTTCCACGATAACAGACTGTTATACCTGTGCTTTTTAATGAGCAAATTATAGCTAAAGCCATTTGAATTAAACTAATAAAACTGAAAAGTAAAAAGAAAAAAAAATTAAAAGATAACTTAAAAAACACCCCCTGCAGTGCACTATTCCAAAATCTGTGGGTTTGTGTCAAAACATTATCTATGAAGAATTATGACAGAGATTATGTAGCATATTAGTTATGGGAAACTAACTGGAAACTAGTTAATTAATTCAAGTCAACAATGAGGATTAAAATAATAAAAGCAAAATACAGGTTAAATTTGATGCCATGAGGTACCAAATTCTATACCAAATGGCTAGAAGGGAGTCCCAGGAAATGTTCAGTAATGGAAGTCCACATGGTGACGGAGTCACAGAATAAGGATCGGCACAGTGAGGGAGAAAGGACAGGGGCCACAGAGTCAGACACTTAATAGTTATGTGATCTTAGGCCACTTCACTTAATAGCTCAGAACCTCAATTTTTTAACCTGTAAATGGGAATTGTAATATCTACTTCAGAACTGTTGTGAAGAATAAATGTTATATATGTGAAGTGCCTAGCATTCCATAAATGGTATTTTAAAAGAAAATTATTATTACTCTCTCAACTGTTAGTTTATATTCCTATTTTTCTCAATCACCTATAGAAGACACACAGAAACATTCTCTCGTGACTCAAGACAGAACGTCCAAGACTGCATTTTATCAATTTTTCAGGCTCTATAATACAGTTGAGACTAACCCTTCAGAAATGCAACATGGAGAGAGGAATTCCTTGTGAAGAGGAAAGAAGAAAATATCTGCCTTTACAAATGCAACAGATTGTAAACAGTGAGCCTACTCAATTCCAAAACCAACTACTCCCCAGGCTGTCCTTTGAGATTCTGTCTTGCTCCATCGCCCATGAAATGCTGGGACCAGAGGAGGTCAGAAACATTCCTAGAAACCACTGGCATGAAACAGCTGCACATCCCTCCCCGCCCCCCCAACAGTTCTTCCTGCCCCTGCGATGGCTTGTCCTTGAGGTCTGGCAGCCACTCAAAGGAAGGAGAGGCCCTTCCTCCCCAGTAGCTGGTGACCCACCCAGGCTACTCCCCAGCTACCTGTCAGATGTCATTACAGACTGAAACGGTGAGATCAAGCTGCTTAGGAAAAGGGACAGAGACAAAGGCAAAGTTGCTTCGCTATGAGGCAATGACTGGGGCAGGTTTAAAGCTCATTTCTTCATCTTTTCCAGACACTCTTCCTTACACAAATTTCTAGAAAAAGGTTTCTTTCCTTCCTATGCTCCATTAAAATGAGCAAAAACCTCTACCAGTTCCTTCTTTCCTCCCTTTCTTTCAACACTCATGGCCTAGTGGAAAGAACATAGGCTTGGAAGTCAGCCCTGGGTTTAAAAGCCCCGATCTCACTTATTAACCACACGACCTTGGATGGGCAAGAATCTTTTTCTCTCTAAGCCTCAACTATGAAATGAGAATGCTAATATCTATTTGTAGAGTTGTTTTGAACACTAGAAATGCATACTTGGCATAAATTAGGAACTTAGTATATAACAGATCTATTATTAGTTATTGGCAGTAATATTGCTTTCAATGTGATCATCATGAAAAAAAACCCCTATATGTTCATTTTCTTTAAGAGGGAAAATACCAAGTTAATTACCACTGAATACCAACACTGTACCTGGTTCTACTGAAGCTGAAAGACAAAACTTCTTAAACATTCAGACCCCACAACATGGGGGAAATAGCCCCTGGATAATCAATAGCTGGTCAAAGGGGATCCATCTGAGAATTCTGATGACGGTGGTGACAAGGGTTTGACCTAGAGAATTGCAGTAACTGAAATATGGAAAAGAACTCCTTATCTGATGCCTTATCTGACAGATGAGGAAATTGAGACCCACGAAGTTAAAGGTTTTGATTAAGATCACTCAGGTCATTGGCAAAACTATGACTTGGGGATTGAAATCTCCCAATTTGTAATTCAGAGGCTTTTCCACCCTGGCACACTACAGACCACATAGCATGTACATAGAAGAGTTCAAGGAAACGATCTGGCCAAGAACTGTGCTAGACAGTCTCTATCCCTGTCCTTGAGGGCGTACAGTCCAGTGGCGGAGACAGGAAAACAGGTTGTTCCAACATGTTTTGTGACTAAGTACTGCAAAGTGTACAAGCTGCTTGGGGCAAAAAAAAAAAAACCTTAGCTAAGGGGGGTTACCCTGGTAAACAGGGGAAAGGCGGTGTTGAAGGTTCGGGGGTGGCAGGATGGGCTTCAGTGAAGGGGCAGACACAGCAGTGCTAGGGGGCAAAGCATGAGGCAAGGAGCCCCACAGGGGCTGAGGAGGCAGGGGTCAGCCATCCCATTCCAAGCCCAGCATCTGCCATTCAGGAGATGATAGCGATGGGATGACAGCCAGGAAGAGAGGAGCCTGGGGGCATTTGGGATCCATTTCTCATGGAATCCCAGAGAAAGAAAGAAATACATCTCCCTGGCCTGTCTTGAGGTCTCAGAGTACTTGGAGGTGGGGAAGGTGCGGATGACAGAAGACAATCCCATTTGGCTCTTTCTTACTGTTAATAATGGAAAGGTTTCTCAGTGATTGCTAATATTCTGCCGCCACTTACCACGCTGAGATGAACAGATACTCCTGGGTCAGGGATAGGAAGTTTGTGCAGAGTTTCAAGAAGCTCATTCCACTGACTCTCCTGAAAGAAATAAAAGGCCTAAGTAACAAAGGCAGGGCTGAGCCCTTAGTCAGAGACCTGCAGGGAGGTCTGGGCACACAACAGAAATAGGTTTGATATTCAAGTAGGGTTGGACAAAAGACACCGCTTAGGCTCAATAAAAGAGCCAAACAGATCCGCCCACACCAAGTTTGACATTTTCTACCTAGTGAGACACCTACCATGACCGCCTTTTATGGATCATATACCATAAGCTCTCAGCAAATCTATCCTCTCAACTCCATAGCAACAACTTTTAAATGCAAACAACCCCAGCTTACAGGGCGGGGGTGGTAGGGAGAAATAACGATGACACTATAGATCTTGTCTTCATCATCATTACCCTCAATTAATTTTATTGAGTGTTCACTGGATACACAGCAACCTCCAATTATGGAAAGTTAAAAATGAACTACTACAACAGCATGGAATACAGGATGATGGCTGTGCATTTTAATTAGTGAAACTGAGCCACAAAGTGAAATGCAAAGCAGTACAAATTCTTCGACTGAAAACAGGTTCACCTTTAAAATGCTCAAAAGAACACTGTTTACGGAATTATCCAAAAGCTATTTCTCCCACCCTGTGGAATTCTCTGTGCTGATAAAGGAGTAATAAGCTTACATTTGTACCCATTTGGTAGGTGTTTGAGCCTCACAACTACCTCACTTTACAGGTTGAAAACTAAGGCTCCGAAGGGTAAAGGAACTTGACTCAAATCATCCAGCTGGTAAGTTGCACAGCCAGGAGCTAATCACAGGTTTTCTGTGTTCAAACCCAGAGCCCTCTCAGCTGTTCCACAGCTGTCTTTGTTAGTGAATTTAAAGGAGAGGGAAAAGAGGATGGGCCCAAAGTAAAATCCTGTTTCAATCTGAATTCATAAGTTACTCAAATTTCTCAAGGGGTAGAAATGAACGTGTGCAGGTACACAAGTTTAATTTTGCTCTGAAACAATCTCAAATTTACAGAATAATCACACGACAGTACAAAAAAACTTTTATTTCCATTTGAGAGTGAGTTACCAACATTATGTCCCAACATCCATAAATAAAAAGGACATTCTCCTACATAACAACAATTAATCATCAAAATCAGGAAATTAACACTGAAACAACATTACCATCTAATCCTCAGATCCCACCAAGTGTTGCCAACTGTGCCAATAATGTCCTTGAATAGCAAAATTATCCAGTTCAGAATCACATGTTGCCTTCAAATGCTGTGACTCTCTAGTTTTCATCAGTCAGGAACAGTTCCTAAGTCTTTCCTGGATTTGTATGAACCTGACAGTGAGACCAACCATTTTGTAAAATAACACTCACTTCCTTGATGTTTTCTATTGATTCAGATTTCAATTCATCCCATTTCTGATGATGTTCACTTTAATCATTTGATTAATTCACCTGAGGTCTCTATTGTGCGGTCACTCATTCTCCCTAAAGTGAATCAGCTATACATATACATATATCCCCTCTTTTTTGGATTTCCCTCCCATTTAGGTCACCACAGAGCATTGAGTAGAGTTCCCTGTGCATAGGTTCTCATTAGTTATCTATTTTATACACAGTAGTGTATATATGTCAATCCCAATCTCTCAGTTCATCCCACCATCCCTTCCCCCGCTGGTATCCATTTGTTTGTTCTCTACATCTGTGTATCTATATTTGCTTTACAAATAAGTTTATCTGTACCATTTTTCTAGATTCCACATATAAGTGATATTATATAATATTTGTTTTTCTATTTCTGACTTACTTCACTCTGTATGAGTCCCTAGGTCCATCCACGTCTCTGCAAATGGCACGATTTCATTCCTTTTTATGGCTAATATTCCACTGTATAAATGTGCCACATCTTCTTTATCCATTCCTCTGTTGATGAACATTTAGGTTGCTTCCATGTCCTGGCTATTGTAAATAGTGCTGCAATGAACACGGGGGTGCATGTATCTATTTTTAGTTTTTTAAGGAACCTTCATACTGTTCTCCATAGTGGCTGTACCAATTTACATTCCCAACAACACTGTAGGAGAGTCCCCTTTTCTCCAAACCCTCTCCAGCATTTACTGTTTGTAGATTTTTTGATGATGGCCATTCTGAATGGTGTGAGGTGATACCTCATTGTAGTATGTATGTATGTATGTATGTATTTATGGCCGTGTTGGGTCTTCGTTGCTGTGCGCGGGCTTTCTCTAGTTGCGGCGAGCAGGGGCTACTCTTCGTTGCGGTGTGCGGACTTCTCGCGGTGGCTTCTCTTGTTGTGGAGCATGGGCTCTAGGTGCCCGGGCTTCAGCAGCTGTGGCTCAAAGGCTCTAGAGGGCAGGCTCAGTAGTTGTGGTGCATGGGCTTAGTTGCTCTGTGGCATGTGGGATCTTCTCGGACCAGGGCTCGAACCCATGTCTCCTGCATTGGCAGGGGGATTCTTAACCACTGCGCCACCAGGGAAGCCCCCTCATTGTAGTTTTGACTTGCATTTCTCTAATAATTAGTGATGTCGAGCATCTTTTCATGTGTTTGTTGGCCATCTCTATATCTTCTTTGGAGAAATGTCTATTTAGTTAGGTCTTCTGCCTATTTTTTGATTGGGTTGTTTGTTTTTTTGATATTGAGCTGCATGAGCTGTTTGTAAATTTTGGAGATTAATCCCTGTCAGCTGATTCATTGGCAAATATCTTCTCCTATTCTGAGGGTTGTCTTTTCGTCTTGTTCATAGTTTTGTGTACTGTGCAAAAGCTTTTAAGTTTAATTAGGTCCCATTTGTTTATTATTGTTTTTATTTTCATTACTCTAGGAGGGGGGTCGAGAAAGATCTTGCTGTGATTTATGTCAGTGTTCTGCCTATGTTTTCCTCTAAAAGTTTTATAGTTTCTGGCCTTACATTTAGGTCTTTAATCCATTTTGGGTTTATTTTTGTGTATGGAGTTAGGGATCGTTCTAATTACATTCTTTTACATGTAGCTGTCCAGTTTTCCCAGCACCACTTATTGAAGAGGCTGCCTTTGCTCCTTTGTTTATTCTGGCCTCCTCTGTCATAGATTGGGTGACCATAAGTATGTGAGTTTATCTCTGGGCTTTCTATCCTGTTCCATTGATCTTTCTTTCTGTTTTTGTGCCAGTTCCATACTGTCTTGATTACTGTAGCTTTGTAGTATGAAGTCGGGGAGCCTGATTCCTCCAGCTCCATTTTTCTTTCTCAAGATTGCTTTAGCTATTCAGGGTCTTTTGTGTTTCCATACAAATTGTAAAATTTTTTGTTCTAATTCTGTAAAAAATGGCCTTGGTAATTTGATAGGGATGGTACTGAATCTGTAGATTGCTTTGGGTAGTATAGTCATTTTCACAATATTGATCGTTCCAATCCAAGAACATGGTATATCTCTCCATCTGTTGGTATCATCTTTAATTTCTTTCACAGTGTCTTATACTTTTCTGCATACAGGTCTTTTGTCTCCCTAGGTAGGCTTATTCCTAGGTATTTTATTCTTTTTGTTGCAGTGGAAAATGGGAGTGTTTCCTTAACTTCTCTTTCAGATTTTTCATCATTAGTGGATAGGAATGCAAGAGATTTCTGTGCATTAATTTTGTATCCTGCAACTTTACCTAATTCATTGATTAGCTCTAGTAATTTTCTGGTGGCATGTTGAGGATTCTCTATGTATAGTATCATGTCATCTGCAAACAGTGACAGTTTTACTTCTTCTTTTCCAATTTGTAATCCTTTTATTTCTTTTTCTTCCCTGATTGCTGTGGCTAGGACTTCCAAAACTATACTGAATAAGAGTGGCAAGAGTGGACATCCTTGTCTTGTTCCTGATCTAAGAGGAAATGCTTTCAGTTTTTCACCACTGAGAATGATGTTTGCTATGGGTTTGTCATATACGGCCTTTATTATGCTGAGGTAGGTTCCCTTTATGCCCACTTTCTGGAGAGTTTTTATCATAAATGGGTGTTGAATTTTGGCAAAAGATTTTTCTGTATCTATTGAGATGATCATATGGTTTTTATTCTTCACTTTAATATGATGTATCACACTGATTTGTGTATATTGAAGAATCCTTGCATCCCTTGGATAAATCTCACTTGATCATGGTGCACGATCCTTTTAATGAGTTATTGGATTCTGTTTGCTAGTATTGTGTTGAGGATTTTTGCCTCTATGTTCACCAGAAAATTATGGTCTGTGATTTTCTTTTTGTGTGTGTAATATCTTTGTCTGGTTTTGGTATCAGGGTGATGGTGGCCTCATAGAATGAGCTTGGGAGTGTTCCTCCCTCTGCAATTGTTTGAAAGAGTTTGAGAAGGAAAGGTGTCAGCTCTTTAAATGTTTGATAGAATTCGCCAGTGAAGCCATATGGTCCTGGACTTTTGTTTGTTGGAAGATTTTTAAATCACAGTTTCAATTTCATTACTTGTGATTGGTCTGTTCATATTTTCTATTTTGTCCTGGTTCAGCCTTGGAAAGTTGTACCTTTCTAAAAATTTGTCTATTTCTTCCAGGTTATCCATTTCATTGGCGTAGAGTTGCTTGTAGTACTCTCTTATGATACTTTGTATTTCTGTGTTGTCAGTTGTAACTTCTCCTTTTTCACTTCTAATTTTACTGATTTGAGTCCTCTCCCTGTTTTGCTTGATGAGTCTGGCTAATGGTTTATCAATTTTGTTTATCTTCTCAAAGAACAGCTTTTAGTTTCATTGATCTTTGCTATTGCTTTCTTCGTTTCCATTTCATTTATTTCTGTTCTGATCTTTATGATTTCTTTCCTTCTACTACCTTTGGGTTTTGTTTGTTCTTCTTTCTCTAGTTGCTTTAGGTGTAAGGTTAGGTTGTTTGAGATGTTTCTTGTTTCTTGAGGTGGTATTGTATTGCTATAAACTTCCCTCTTAGAACTGCTTTTCCTGCATCCCATAGGTTTTGGGTCATCATGTTTTCACTGTCATTTGTTTCTTTATTTCCTCTTTGATTTCAACAGTGATCCACTGGTT